GTCATCACGACCCAGAGCGGGGCAGCATAAGCAAGCACGGGAACCACTTTTGCCTTGAACACCTTTAGGGCCGAGGGAACATGCAAAGCTCCATCCGAAAAGAAAAATCGGAGGAGCGCATATGACAGAGTTTTGGCCTTATTAAGTAGGTGTTGAATATGTGCTTTCCACCCCAAATTGTATTGAAAAATAACTCCTAGGTATTGAAATTTTAGGACTTGCTCTATTTTTGCTCCACCAAGCTTCCATTCGTATAATCTCCGACTTCTGGCGAAAATCAGAATCTTAGATTTAGCATGATTGATGGTTAATTGGTTGAGTTGACAATACGTGGCAAAGATCTTCAGAGCTCTGGTTAGTCCAACACGTGTATAAGATAGAATTACCGCGTCGTCCGCATATAAAAGGAGTGGACAGCGGTAATCCGCTAGTCTAGGCGCATGTGTACTTGGAGATGAGTTGACTAGGGGTGCTCGCATGTCGCTGATGAATAGATTGAATAGGCAGGGGGCCAATATACATCCTTGGCGCACTCCCTTGTTTATTGGTATCGAATTTGTGAGGTCGCCCGCAGGAGTAAGTCTCACTCTGGCAAGGGTACCTTCGTGGAGCTGACTTATAAGCCATAAGAGCCTTCTATCGATGCCCTGTTTCGCAAGTTTCTCCCAAAGAATATTTCTAGGAACGCTGTCGAAGGCTGCCTTAAGATCTAAGAAGGCAGCACACAGATAGCCCCGGGAGGGGAGGAGTACTTCCGTGCCAGATGGTAAAGAACTATCGCATGATCAGTTGTAGAGCGTTTAATTCTGAACCCTGCTTGTTCGTGGCCAATCTGGTTAGTCTCATCTACCCATCGCGATAGTTTCGTCAGCAAAAAGCTGGCATAAATTTTCCCTATGATCGAAAGGAGGCTGATGTTACGGTAATTTTCCGGCTCCATTGGAGAACCTTTTTATGAATTGGTACTATAATGGCCTCCTTCCATATTTTGGGGATGATACCAGAAGCGTTGATTGTGTCGAAGGTTTTGGCCAAGATGCCAGCCCACCATTTTGGGTGTAGTTTGATGGCTTCAGCAGGGATCAGGTCGGGCCCTGGGGCTTTGCTGGACTAGATGGGCCATTGGCCTGATCCAGAATCACCAGGTAGGGCTGGGAAAGACTCCTACCTGAACCCCTGGAGAGCCACTGTCAGCTGGTGTAGACAATATTGAGCTAGATAGACCAGTGCTCTAACCCAGAGTAAGACAGGTTTCTATGTTCCTATGGAGGGTTGCCATGTGTCCTCTTTTTCCAGGACACGTTCTCCTTTTCAGGGGTAACATTTGAGACAAACTGCATCTGTTTGTTTTGAATGGCCATCATAGCATCCTAGTTTTTGCTCTTCAAAATATGGCAGCCCTATCTATGGAGTTACAAATCATTAGTTTATTAATCATTTTTAGTATAATAAATAATAATAAAATGCAGCCGACTGTTATTCAGGGAACCTAAAATGCCTGACTAGATTAACTGACCTCTGTTTCCTAAGGGACCATTTGCGGGTGATTGAATTTCTTTGAAATCTCCAAGCTATTGTTCCTTCTCTCACGTAACCCACATCTTTCTAGTTGACTAATTGCTTATGACAGGTGTCACCTGAGCTATGAAGTGAACACTGCCCCAGCAACCCTTGATTGAGGCATAATAGGGTGACTCTGAGTCTGAAGGCCTGATCACTGTTATTTTTGCCAATTGATTTCCTAGTGTTTGGTGTCAGTTAATTACTGAGACCTGTTCGGCGCATAAATGAAAGTGGCCATTATGGCTGTATTTCCAATTGATTTTTCTCACAAACATGAACAACAATTTGCCCGTCCAATGAAGGAGAGAAGTGAAATAATACTTTCTTTCTTTTTTAAGAATGAAACTTGACAGGAATTCCAAACTGCTGCCAAATACAGAGACAGGGGATATGTGGGCCCTCCAAATGTTAGACGACAACTCCCATCATTCCTGACCATTGAACATACTGGCTGAGACTGATGGGATTTGGAATCCAAAAATATCTAGAGGGCCACAGGTTTTCCACCCCGGCCTAATATAAGCAACACAATATAAGGTGCATATTAGACAGCATCTTAAAAAGCAGAGACATCACCTTGCCAACAAAGGTCCGTATAGTTAAAGCCATGGTTTTCCCAGTAGTGATGTATGGAAGTGAGAGCTGGACCATAAAGAAGGCTGATCACTGAAGAATTGACGTTTTTGAATTATGGTGCTGAGAGTCCCATGGACTGCAAGAAGATCAAACCTATCCATTCTGAAGGAAATCAGCCCTGAGTGCTCACTGGAAGGACAAATCCTGAAGCTGAGGCTACAATACTTTGGCCACCTCATGAGAAGAGAAGACTCCCTGGAAAAGACCCTGATGTTGGGAAAGATGGAGGACACAAGGAGAAGGGGACGACAGAGGACGAGATGGTTGGATAGTGTTCTTGAAGCCACCAGCATGAGTTTGACTAAACTGCGGGAGGCAGTGGAAGACAGGAGTGCCTGGCGTGCTCTGGTCCATGGGGTCACGAAGAGTCGGACACGACTAAACGACTAAACAACAACAAATAGGGTGCATATGTGATTTTGCAGCCAAAACTCAGAACAATGTAGGATCACTATGGAATTTTGTCTAAAGGGAATCAGAAATACCTACCAACTTAAATAAGGCATGTTATCCATAGCAAGGAACATAGCAAGCTGCCTTATGCTGAGTTGACCATTGATCAGTCTATCTCAGTACTGTCCACACTGACAAGCATCAGGTCTCAGGGTTTCAGGCAGAAGTCCTTCTGAATCATACCTGGAGATGCCTGAGGAGTGAACCTGGGACCCTTCTGCATGTTGGGTGTTGCATATGTGCTGTGTAAGTTGATTCAAGTGTTAAACTCACCACAGGAAACAACTGTGTACTCAAGATAGCTTTTACGTGACATACACAAACACTATATGCATACAGTGGTACCTCTGGTTACATACACTTCAGGTTACAGACTCCGCTAACCCAGAAATAGTGCTTCAGGTTAAGAACTTTGCTTCAGGATGAGAACAGAAATTGCGCTCCGGCAGCCGCGGCAGCAGCAGGAGGCCCCATTAGCTAAAGTGGTGCTTCAGGTTAAGAACAGTTTCAGGTTACGTACGGACCTCCGGAACGAATTAAGTACTTAACCTGAGGTACCACTGTACACTGTTTGCAATTGCTACAAGACATCTTCACTCTCTGAGCCCAGAGAGGGTTGCCTGCCTACAAAGTCCTTACTGTGACAAAGTCCACAAGACAAGTTCAAAAATTCAGTTGCTAACAAAGTTCTGCAACTGCCAGAGTTCTCTGAGTCCAGAAATCTTGCAAATTATTCAGCTTCCTTCAGATGATCTCCTCTCAAAGTTTCCAACATTTACACAGTTCCATAGATTTCTTCAACAGTCTCTAATAACCCCCAGCAATGAATGCTGTAACCCAAGTCCTATACAGTGGAAACTCGGTGTTTGAATGTAATCTGTTCCGGAAGACCGTTCAGCTTCCGAAAATTGTTCAAAAACTGGAGCAGTTACTTTTCAGTTTTCAGCATTCGGAAGCCAAAATGTTCCAAAACGGAGGTGTTCAGGAACCAAGGTTTCACTGTACATACTCAGTGCTACATGCTGAACTTGCCTAGCAACTCAGATAAGAAAGTCACAAGATTCCGGCAGCTGCGGGTCTGTGTGTGACATTTTTGCTGACTCATGGAGAATTAACCCTTTTTTCACTTTCCCTAACACTGCATGGAATGCAGATGTTCTGCCATTGAGTTATGGTCTTTTCATAGAACTGTATGTCTGAAGTTGTATAGTGTAATCCACCTTCTTATTTTTGCAGTGGCTATCAATGTTAATGTATGTTAAGTCCATGCTGCATTTTCTTATTTATTTATTTATTTATTTATTTATTTAGTGTGTGTGTGTGTGTGTGTGTATGTACACACACACACACACACACACACACACACACACACAGTAATTTTCTTTTGGTGTGGTTGGCAGAAGTTTTCCTTTAAAATAATTATTGGCACCACATCATTATTTCCCAAACTCTAGCAAATTAACATTTTTTCTACCTAAAGTGATAGGAAGCAAGATAGTGGTCGATGCATCCCCACAATTTATGATCACATAATGAGTTTTTATTACTTTAATTAATCATTGCAGGGAGTTACTTCTTTTTTGCTTGCTTACACATAATGGATTTAGAGCACAAGTGCCATTTGCAGGCCAATGAGCTTTCTGTTTAAGCTTTACAGCCTTAGTGGCAATTTTTTCGCTCGTGCCTGGATTTTTGAAAATGAAGGGGGACAGAGACACTTGCCAGAGATTTTGGCACAGCAACAAAGAGATACACTGGCCATGATCTGTTGCAAACAAAGTGGTAAGCTTCTGGAACTTGTTTGGAGTTTTCACTACCAGGGCGAAACAAAATGAATATAACATAAGAGTCCTAGGCAGCAAATGTAGTGCATTAGTCTCATGTGAAGCAGCCCCTAGGCCACTTTCTCCCAGACTTGGCTACACTGTATTTTAAATTAAAATTGCAGGCACAGCTTCATTCCTCCACTCAGAAATGTACCTATATATTAGCTCCCCCAAACAACAGGCCAGCATCCTATTTACAGCTACAGGGATAGTTTGGTTAATATTGCCTGCTGGAACTTAGTTCCTACCATTTAGGACAGGCATGGTCAAACTTGACCCTCCAGATGTTTTGGGATTACAACTCCCATCATCCCTAGCCAACAGGACCAGTGGTCAGGGATGATGGGAATTGTAGTCCCAAAACATCTAGAGGGCCAAGTTTGGCCATGGCTGATTTAGGAGGACCAGAGATAGGGAGTTAGAAGGGTACCTTCTACCAAGTCATTGGTCCATCTAGCTCTATATTGGTCCATCTAGCTCATCATACTGATGGGTTCTCCACGTTTTCAGATGGCATGCAAAGTCCTCTCTGGAAACGCCATAAATTGAACCTGGAACCTTCTGCATTCAAAGCAAATGTTTTACCACTGAGCTATGGAACTAGGGACAGTGTCAAGGATCAAAGATTATGCCTGTGCTTCCAATAGAGCTGCCATTCCCTGTACCTTCCTGAGTCTGCTGCTCCTGTTGCTGGTGACATGTCAGCAGACAAGCAAACAGTGAAAAGACTTCAGTGAAGGAACATCACCTCTCTCTTTCTGTGAGGTAATGTGGATTGGGTCCTGAGAGAGGCAATTGAATGTGCTGTGGCAAAAGGTCCACTAAAACAATCCCTTTTGCCCTCCCCCCAATGTGGTCTACCCCACCAACTTTCTGTCAGGATCAGCCATGAACTGCACAAGACCTCAAAGGAAAACTAGGGCCCTCTCACTGATCTCCAGGTAACAGTCTCAGGAGTATCAGTGGAGACCAGTGACCCTTCTGACTGTGGGAGATTTTATGCAGCCAAACAGAACTTAATTGCTAGTAAGTAAGAAGTTAAGGGGGACACGGGTGGCGCTGTGGGTTAAACCACAGAGCCCAGGGCTTGCCGATCAGAAGGTCAGCGGTTCGAATCCCCACTACGGGGTGAGCTCCCGTTGCTCAGTCCCTGCTCCTGCCAACCTAGCAGTTCGAAAGCACGTCAAAGTGCAAGTAGATAAATAGGTACCACTCCGGCGGGAAGGTAAATGGCGTTTCCGTGCGCTGCTCTGGTTCACCAGAAGCAGCTTAGTCATGCTGGCCACATGACCCGGAAGCTGTTTATTGGCTCACTCGGCCAATAAAGCGAGATGAGCACCGCAACCCCGGAGTCAGTCACGACTGGACCTAATGGTCAGGGGTCCCTTTACCTTTACCTTTAAGGAGTTAAGGACCACAGAGCTGTAAATTTTCAGAGAAGGCACAGCTCATTCACACACACATGCCTCACCTTCAGGGAAGGAAGAAGTATTGCTTGTTTCCTATTCCTCTCTCCCTCTTCTGTTTGAACCATGTAACTGACCACATGCATGAGACTGGAGCTCCCTAACCCAGACTTTACGTTTGATGACATCCTTTTGTATTTTTGCACCCAAGAAATTTTTCGACCTGTGTTATCTTTGCTGTGGCATTGAGATGTATGAGTGAGACCTCTGATTACTGTAAGGAAAGCATTTAAACTTACTCAAGGTCGTGGTCTATTCACTCTGAGAGGGGTAGAAGCAGGGGAGCACATTGTCAGCACTTAATAATGGGGCATTTAAAGGTCTAACAACCTATATTTCCCACACTTCACAAATGCTGGGGGCTTTTTTGACTAGTGATTGAGTCAAGCACTGTGCACTTTTTGAATTCAGGCGGTCAGCTGTGTTTCCTTTGTAGTTCCCCACTGATGTGGGGCTTAAATATTAATTGGTATTCACCAGTTATTGCCCAGCACACTGACCACATGGAAGATCCTCCACTTGAAGAGGCCACTGGTTTGAAAGGACCACTGCACATTGACTGGCCTCATCACTTCACTCCAGACCCACCAACATTGCCTAGGAGCAGAGGTGACAGTGTGTCTGAATTGACCTTCCAGGTTACCTGCTTGTTGAGAATTCACCCTGATTTGTTCATGAGGAGGTTAGATGACATTACATTAAGCAGTTACTATTTGTCACTTTGCAGTGCAGTTCCCCATTACTTTCCTTATTGCAAAAAGTCCAAACTTTTGTGAAAGCTGGTTTGTTGCACAATACCTCCAAATCAGCTTCCGGTGCATGACCTGAGTATGCCAGTATGTAACTGAATCACACCTGAAGACAACAACTGTTTGGAAGCTCCTTAAATGATCCTTTTCAAGAGAAGAGAGAGAAAGTTTAACCTGAACACAAGTGCAACATGCTGCAAAACAATCAGTGTGACATGCATGCAATCACCAGAATTGTCATGTGGCTGAGCCTCTGCTGGCTTGCCAAGTGAGTTTGTGGCTGATATTCAAACCGGGAACTTCCCTGCTTGCATGTCTAATCAGGACATTACACCGCACTAAATGGTTATTGATTTTGTGAAGGGAAGACTGATGAGTCGGTGGCAAAGCATGCATTTTGCATACACAAAATCCCAGGTTTAGTCCCTGGCATATTCAGTGGTAAAGATCTCTGGTTACAGGGAAAGCTGAGGGCAGGGAGACACCTAATCTAGGAGAGAGCTATAAGCATCCTGAGTGGTCAGAGCTGGACTAGATGGGCTAGGATGATCTGATTTGACATAAGGCAGATGTGAAAAGGTCCTGGTGCACTGGAGCTGGCAGAGGGCTTTGTTTGGGCTTCTAAGTTTAGACTCGCTCCATTTCTTCAGATGGTGCATGCCAAAACTAACAGAATGGATGCTGTGATGTTGGGAGGAGGAGATCTGTGGATTTTTTGCAGGCTTACACTGCGTAAGTTCATATATTCTCAGATATGCATGTTGTTAGTAGGCACTTTGATCACGCACAGTTTGTACAAAGCTAATTGGTTTGTAGCATTGGCAGTTCCCTCCGTTCCCTTTTAATTTGTCTGTGCTCATGAAAGCGAGAGACCATTAGCTTGGGGCTCAAGCCAGAGACAGGGTGGCCAGATGCTCTTTTGAGCGTCCTCAGCTCAGCTCAGCTCTGCCAGCAATTCTGTATCCTCACCTGCCACCCCTCCTGCTGTTGTGCACTTGTATCAGCAGCAATTTGCTAATATAGCAAAAATGCTTATGATGGGGGAAAAAAATACATCCCGTTTCCTTCCATCAGACATGGAAAAGTTGCCTTTTGCAAGCAGAACATATCAAATGCAATGGCTGAGATTCCCCAGCAGGTGTTGTGATCACTTAATGCTACATTCAAAGACAGAGAGATAAGGTTGTTATCTTGCATCAGGCTGAACTCCGGGCATTACCTGTGTGCACTTCTTTTGTGACATGCATCAAGTGTCCTTGCTGAAATGTCTAGGCTTCTTCAGGCTCTCTGTGATCCATAGGTATGCAAGAGCCCACCGCAGGCTGAAATCGGAGCCAGGACCTGAGTTTTTGCTCCTTGATCCAGGAAATTGGTGGAGGTTTGAGCCATACAGGATTGTCTTCCATAACATTCCCATGTTAGCTGAGCACAGGTGGCTGAGATTTTTAAGTATAATTGTTTAATTGTACATTGAAATGGAAAATAACTCTGTATGTGGCTGCATGTATACCCGGGTAGCATGGCATGGAAATTTCCATTGAAGCTAAACAAGAGTTGCAGAGAGCTTAACAGTTAATGATTCAGTAGGGCTGCATCCATTGTCTCTCGAGACAGACAGATGCCAACAGGACTGTGCCTCACTTGCAAGCTGTTTAACTTAAACCATATGAAAAGGATACAATTACAGATCTATGCATGTGCTAATCCGTAAGGCTCCATTTTCGGTGTGTTAGTTCTTTATTCTGAAGCCACTGAAGAGAAAGGATGTTGCTAATCTCTCTCCAGGAAAACAGCCGAAGGCTAAAGTAGGTTGTTAAGCTCTGGATTGAAGATATTCTAAGATATTTTGCCTGTGCAGATATTATACATCTATCTGAATGCAACTTGTTTTAAGTTTGTTTTAGAATTAAGTTTTGAAGTAAGGCTTTTCAACCATATTTTTGGACTGGACAATTTTTATTTCAGGAAGAGTCAGTTTTTATTCATCTCATTTGCTTCCAAATGCATGCTATTAATAACCTCAAGAGCAGGCTTCCTCAACCTCGGCCTCCAGATGTTTTTGGCATACAACTCCCATGATCCCTAGCTAGCAGGACCAGTGGTCAGGGATGATGGGAATTGCAGTCTCAAAACATCTGGAGGGTCAAGTCTGAGGAAACCTGCTCAAGAGGTTCTAGTCAGGAGACTGGGTGGTGGTGGTGGTAGGAGAGGAACTGCAGTTTCTCTAATAGCTAATGCTGTTCGCATTCATCCAGACTAATATGGCTGTTCCAGTTTATTTTTCCATCCATACCAGCTTGCCCAAGAAGCTTCTTCCATTCTGAGACCCTTCTCTGTGTAAACTTGTTGCAGTGTCTGAGCTTGCTGGGGGTAGTTCAAGGTCAAGGCTCCATGTTCAAGGCTCCATGTTCTTCTCAAGGCACTCAAGAACAAGTAAAGGCATAACTTAGAGCTTTGTGGGACCAAAAGCAAAGCATGGAACAGCTGGGTTGTCTTCACCCAACCAAGCTTCCTGGAGTTGTATTGTATTTCTGCTGCTTATAGGAAACTTGTAAGTGAGACTTGAGTGTAGCAACAATTTGCCGACACTTGTGACTCCCAGCAACTTGTATGGTTGGAGAAACCATACATTTAAAGGCCTATGGTACTACTTTAAATAGCCATGGCTTCCCGCAAAGAATTATGGTAGCTGTAGTTTGTTAAGGGTGCTCTCTGAACTAGTTTCCAGAGTGGTTTAAGTCTCTCCCCATCCCCAGGGAACTTTGGAATTGTAGCTCTGGTAGGGGAAGAACGGTTTCATAACTCTGAGGACCCTTAACAAATTGTAACTCTCAGAATACTTTGGGGGAACCTATAACTGTTTAAAGTGGTATCATAGTGCTGTAAATATATGGGGACTCCTTTCTCTCTGGGTCATTCATTCTCTTCTCCATGGACAACTTACCTACTTTACTTTCATGTTGTGGTGTGAGAAAGCAGCTCCCTTTTTACTTATGGCTGCCCTGACATGATGCTTACCACCTAACCCCCCACCCCAGTAAATGTTCATGCAAGCAGGCCCTGATCCAATAGCTGAGGATGATGCTTAAGAGAAGTTCTTTAGCTTTCCACCAACTCCATTGCTTTTTCTTAGCAATCACACTATGTCGATGAGATGTAGATAAATGTCCATAAGGGAAATTGCTGGCCTCATTTAAGTATCATCTTGATGGGCTGTGTGCTTGGGTCTCTGAGCAAAAGGCCAGATGTCCGTTATTACAATGCTCTCTTAGCAGCACTAATGGCTTATTAAGAATATATAGGTCCCCTTAGCCTCTAATAACAGGCCTTATGAGAGGCAGCGATGCCCCTATTATGACCTGATGAGAAGCTCTTCTCTGCTGC